CAACAACAACAATAATAATAATAATAATAATAATAATAATAATAATAATGCCAAATATTTATATAACGACGATTCCAAATTGAATGATCAAAGGTGCGTTATTACCCCTGGTCACTGGATAACATACATTGGCAAACCAGCACAAAGTGCAACCTTTGCTCCCTGGAGAGTACCTAGTCGTGCGCTTTCACTCAGCGCATAAAACTAGTACATTCAATACCATAACATACTATAATAATAATAATAATAATTTTAGCTTATATAGCGCATTATGCTAAAGCCTCAATGCGCTTAACAGTAAAAATAAAATTCGGGGAAAAAAAATTAAGAAAAATACAAGTTAAAAAGGTGAGTTTTTAAAGCTGCCTTAAAATCATCAATGGAAGTTGCCTGTCGGATTGTAATAGGCAGAGCATTCCAAAGAAAGACAGAAGCCCAAGAGAAAGAACGACTACCATAATGCTTTGTCGATGGGCGAGTGGAATGAGCAAGTAGAGACTCTGAACTAGATCTCAGAGACCTCTTAGGAATGTAAGGATGAATGAGTTGTGAAATAAACAAATACTATTATGTATTTATTTCTACTCTTGGGTAGAGAGAGACAAAAAAAAAACATAGATAATGTGCCTTGCAATTACAATTAGAGACTATTTATTTGTATCATGGAAAATGAAATATATGTAATGGCCAGACATTAATATCATGTCTTTTCTTAGGCTGATACAATATTTATATGAAAGTGAATAATAAATGTTTATTCATTTTTTAAATGTATTCGTTATCTTTCTCGATAGAGGTGCCTGTCACCAAAAGGTTTGAACATTTACATTACATTTAGTTTTACTGAACAAAATCAATAAGGCAAAGTGTAAACAAATTGATTCTAATCTCTGAACAAAACAGAGGTGTTGTTAACAATTCTCTCGATTTCAAATGTAAACTGATTCTTCAGAGGTGGAAGTGGAAAAGCGAAACTAATATTTTTATTAAAACGAAAAATAACTAAACCCATAATATGAAGTAAAATTTAATAAACATGCATGTTGTTAAAAACTTCAAATATGAAAATATTTTGCACCAAAAATGTTAAAATAGCAGCAAGCATTCTTTATTTTATATTCAGTTCATTTGTAGAGAGAAAAACAAACTTCTATCTTCTAAATATTGGCATTTTGATCAGAGGGAAATGATTAAGTTATTACAAATTTACCAGGAAAAATTGTTGAGTATCACCAATTTATATTCACTTCAATGATGCAAGTCAACAGTTAGACAATAAGTCTGCTCCTCTGACTGAGTAATTGTTCGAATACCGTAGCTGTCTGCATTGTATTGTATTGCTATAAAAAATGCAATTTGGCTCGCACCACAAAAATGCCCTGTTGTGCCATCATAGAATAATATAATAATCTCTCTCTGGAGGAGTTCTTAAAAGAAGGAGGCAGCCTACACCCTTGGTCCTTAATTATGATTATGTCACACCGATTCAGGTATGATTGTCGTGACAGAATACTTAGAATCAGTTTTCGTAGAGAACCATGGGATTTGCTAGTCACATGTCTAAACATTTTATGTTGACCCCTGAACTCATAAACAACCTCAGCAAACTTGTGATGGCACCCCACGCTCTGAAATAACATTCTTAATTTCTTTACGTTTTATTTTCATTCTATAAACATTTATTTATAAATATTTAAACAAATATTTCTATACTTTTGCAAGTTGTTGCTGTACAGTATCTCATAAATATTTATTAGGTAATAACATTTCATTGGTCAATTCTACTTGGTACTCAATATATTATTTCACATACATCTATATTTACACAGACAGGTAAAAATTACCGCACTAAATTGGCTACTGCATATAGTACCTAAAATGGAGATGGCTTTACTGTGTTGGAAAATTTTTGACGTATTGTAGAACAAATACAATTTATGTTTATATTTCCAGGAATTTGTGAATTCTATTTAATAACTTGCCAGAAATAGAATCATGAAAAACACAAAAAGCATTGCTTTTTGTGTTATTTATCCAGTGATATTTTAATTTTATTTATATTATTAAACCTGAATAGACTGTACATCAGTTGATTAAACATTTTCGTTATCTTTGCATCGTGTCTCTTTCTTCAATTACACACAAAAAATGTGAATTGCTTAATGTAATTTTTTTTAAAGGTGTAAATTCCCATTGGAGAATTTGCTATTGACGTACACATCTAGCTGTCATCATGGAGATTGTCACATAACAAAAACTTTATCTGTGCACCTTATTGTTTATGGTACAATCAATTGCTGTTGCATTTTGTCCTACTGGAGCAAGGCAAGGTGCTGTCATCTAGGGTGTTCAGTCAGAACCCCAGAGTAAAACCCCTGGGATGGGTTGGGGGTGGAACGATGTTATTGTTTTGGATGATGTAGTGTGTTCTAGACTAATAGAAACTGCAATCACAATTACTTTAGTTGTATCGACAAATAAATGTTCGTAATGTGACAACCTCAGGTGATGTCCTAAGATAGAGAGTCTTGTCAGACAGGAGACAATATCTACCCTTATGTCCCATGTACTGGCTCTACCACTGTTGTCTGTATTCCAATCCAATCTAAACTTAGACTTATTAGGCACATTATTCTATGTCCCTATGTGCCAATATGAAGGAGAACTCAGAAAATGATTAAAACGATTAATAAAGCAACGATTAAATTAAAGCCCGGCTTAGAAAAGTTAAACATGGTGGTGCGCCAGGCATAGGAACACAGGCCGGCTTAAGATAAGCCACCTAGTTCAGACTGGCAGGTGGATAAACCCGGTGAGTTGAGCCGGGTTTATCCGCCTAGTCTGAACTAGGCCTCTCTTATTTTTTTCAAGTCACTGATTAATAATAAATAATAATGATTCAATATTTAATAATAAAAATAATTGATTTAATTATGCATAATATAGTGTTTTTTATTTTTCGTGAATTTCTGATGTTTCAAATTTTAATGTTACTTTTACCTCCATTTTTCTTGTCTTATACTTTTGGTTGATTAATGTTTTTGATATTTCAATATACATTTTTTTAAATATCATGTAGTTCAGATTTGGCTGCGATTTTTGATGTCAATAAAAGAAACAGAAACTGAAATATATAATTATAAAAACTGAATTTATATTTTAGATTATAAATTTCTATAATTAAATTGGGATGTATTCTGCAGTGTAGCCATTATTACTATGTTTTCTATAATTGATATTTTGATATAAAAAAATGGTGGTAACTATATAATTTCTGTTTTCTAGAGCTTTTTCAGGGAAATATTATAACCTAAAGGATGATGGCACATACACCTGCGTTGTGTGTGGTTCAGAGCTGTTCAGGTACATTTTACTACAAGGTCTTATATTATCAAAATAAGTGCATAAAGTGCTGTTGTATGCCCATATATAGTGTTGATTTGTCTATATATGGTCATGATGTGATGTCATCATGACCATATATGGGCATGTTGCATGTTTTTATCAAATATAATTTGATAATCTGGGAAGGGCTTTAGAAAAGATTGTAATAGGAACCGTAAATATTCCTTCACTTATTAATTGGAGAGGAAATTTTATTTTTTATTTTTCAATTTAAAGCTATACAAATTAAGTAATTTAAACACTGAATTTTATGCAAGTTTATTAATATTAGCTCATACGATGCACAGTCATGTCAATAGCACATTTTAAAGATGAATTGGTCAATAAGTTGGATAATAATAAAAGTTTGGTCAAACATTCTCTGTTGACTTCAGACAATTTTATGAGGTTCCGTAGAATATGAGAATTTTGTCACCTTTACACAGTACCGAACATCTTTAACCACTACTTTACATTACAATGGTCTGACAATTAACACATTTTTTATAGATAAATTGGACTATGAGTTGGATAACAATAAAACATTGGTCAAACATTCTCTGTTGATTCTCAGACAATTTTAGGAGATTCAATAGAATATATGAGAAGTTTGTTATCTGTTCACAGTACACCACTACTGTTACAGAGGTTTGACAAATAGATAACATACTTTATAGATGGATTGGACAATGAGTTGGATAAAAATTTCTAAAAAGAGAGCTAACAGTTTTTTTTTATAATAAACAAGGAAGTTTGTGTAATGAATAAAAAAACTGCTAGCTCATTTTAACAAGTTTTTGCTTTATTATAATTGACTGTATACACATCTTGTGTTTAATAGTTTGTTAGAAGGTTCACATTTTGCAAAGTCACCATGTACATGCAACTTTTATAGTCAAGTACAGTACGATGACTTTGAAATACTTTACTAAGTTCAGACTATCAAATTTTATTTGACAAAAAATATGGTCATGATGACATCACATTATGACCATATATAGGCATATCATGACTAAATATTTGCATACAACAGTTTTTAGTCAAAGAAAATTTGATATCTGGACAGGGCTATACAAAATAATTATAAAGCAATTTGAAACCCACTGCATTTCATGCTATAATTGTTAATTATTTATTTGTTATTAATTATATTATTTTAATTTAATCTTGTTTTTCCCCATAGGTCAACTGAAAAGTATGATTCTGGCTCCGGTATGTTTAAATATTTAATAATTTCATATTTTGGTACAAATTTCACAGTGAAAGACATTGTTTAATTATACAGCTGCATCTTAAAAAGAGAGAAAAGAAATGGTATTTTAAAGAACATTTGATGCTAGGATAGTTGTAATGATTATAGCTCCATGTATGATTAAATTGATAGAATGTTGGAGGAAAATTTGTGTCTCATTAATTTCTATTCACTGGTAGAATGTTACACATCACTCTCTAAGGTCAGCATTTACAATGTTACAGGAACCATATATTTGAACTCCAATTTGCATATTTAAGAGATAATTTGCATCAACAATGCATGTGAGAAAATTGGGAACAAAGTTGGTTCATTGGCCATGAACACAATATATAGTGCAGCAAAACAATGCTTATAAGTTGCATATTCTCTAGCATCATGGAGGAATGAAATATTTTATTCCTCCATGGTTTCATCAACCTATTTCACTGATGTTGTTATGCTGCAAATCATGCTTGTTTTATATAAAACCTTCCAAAGTTTATATAAACGCAATTTTATATTTCAGGGTGGCCCTCATTTTACGATGTTTTAGACAAAGCAGCTGTGGATTTAAAGACAGACACAACCTTTGGCATGATCAGGACGGAAGCGAAATGCAAGAAGGTAGTCAAATGTTACCCTTTTTTGTGGATATTTGGAGCTATATAATATTTTGATTGATTGATTGATTTTACAGTAGTAACCATACTGAATGAAAATTATTTTTAGGTCAAATATGGTTTTTTTTTTTCACTTTTGCACTCAGAAAATACCTGCAGTACTGTATACTTTGCTTTAGTCACCCTGGTTTATGGTGGTGACCTAGGAACATTTTCCAGTATACCCTGTCTTCCCAGCAGTGCCATATCTAGAGGATGTGCACACCCCCTTCGCACCCCCCCTTCCCCCCCCCCCAAAAAAATAGTCTTGCACCCCATAGTTTTTCCCCTTTCGACTGGAAATATGTACATCATTTTTCACATTGAAAATGTTTTTGTATTTCAAATGATTGCATTATGAATTGTGAATTTTAACTGATTTTATTAAAATTTTTAATTTCAGTGCGGCGCACATCTTGGCCATGTGTTTGATGATGGTCCCAAAGTGACCGGCAAGCGGTACTGCATCAACTCGGCCTCCCTGAACTTCAAGCCAAAAGACAAGAAATCAGAGCTTTAAACATATTATAAAATTATACTCTAGAATTTTTTTAAATATATATTTGTGATAGAATATTTAATAGTCATTATAACACTTATATATTATACAATAGATATTTTGTAACTGGAATACAGATAAATTTATTTAAGTTCTAATTTCTAAATTTCAAATGAAACTAAAGTAAAATGCATGTTTTGATTTGATTTTACTTAGGTGCTACGGTTTTTATTTTGCAATCAAAAAGCATTTATTTGAATTAATTATTATCCATAACGTTGTTTATTGATTTAGTATATGCAGTGGTGGGTTCAAGGGGGTCCAGCTGGCCCGGGTCCCCTACATTCTTAATGAAATTTTCTTACCTCAGCCCAAACCATGGTAGGACTAAAGTAGTCTAGACCCCTCATCTAAGAAAGTCCCTCCTTGAGCCCCCTCTATTTTGAATTTCTGGGTGTGTCACTGGTATGCTTTATAGGGGAAAAATCAGACCTAGACTTATACCCAATCCTCACAAAACCAATGTTACACAGGATGTGTCACTGGTATTTTTTGTAGAAGAAAACAGACCTAGACTTAGGCTACGTTCAGACTTGGAGATAAGTCAGGCTTGAGTTAAGCCCGGCTTAATTTTGCCGGGCGTTCAGACTAGCGGGATTAGCCGAAGAGAATTTGCATAATAATAAACCATAACCAGGAAACATGTTTCAAAACATTGCTTGCGAAGCGTATGCTCGCTCACAGCGTACGTAATTCAACGCTGATTGGTTATTTCGTCACCCGAAGTCAATGCAAGACCCCCCGCAACGATTAAATCCCGGCCTACTGTAGTTACTATAGGAAAACAGCCCGGCTTGAGATAAGCTACTTAGTTCAGATTAGCAGGTGGATAAACCCGGGGAGTTGAGCCGGGTTTATCCATCTAGTCTGAACTAGGCCTTATACCCAATCAAGGACCTACACTTATACCCAATCCACACAAAACAGGTGCATCTGTGTGAGATTTGCATGTGTCCAATGTAATGTACAGTACAGTAAGAAAACAGACATTGCAGTGCGCTGCAACACCTGTGCAATATTTAGCATGGATTTGTGCACTTGGTAGTGGAACACATGTTAACAGTGACTGCAACATTGTGCGTATCTTCACTGAAAACTTTGTAAATTGTACCAACTTTTAACGAGGTTTATAAATCATTTGTGTGAAGATGATGATGATTCTGGTACAGTTTGGCTTGTGTAAATCAGGTATAAATTAATCGTGCTTTGCAAAATAGTCAATCATGCCTGGCCTTGCCCCATCATCCCTAACCTTTATTGGTACATCATCATACTGTATTATAATGTTGCCAAGAGTTATATTTCATTAAATTATTCAGATGTGCGAAACTAAAGCCTACGAAACTTTGGAATCATCATCATCATCATCATCTGGTACTGTGCATAACTTAAGATAGTATAATACAATGATGACATAATTAATGTCAAAATATTTAATCCCGACACAATGGCGTGCATTTCGATACTTGGAGTATGTATTATACTATTTTATCTGATATTAATCAGTGGAACTTTCGGTTTTTGTGCATAACTTCTATTATTAGAGTATACTCGCACAACGCTAAATGGTTTGCATCATTGCCTGCAGATGTGTTAACATTTTTCTCTCCCTTATCTTTATCAAAATCAGTGGCTTCGCTTAAGTTTTTACTTTTAGTAACATTTTTAATTCTTCTTTCCATATAGTGTGGACAGAGTTATATGTACCTATAGTGTACTATACCAGCAAACTAAACTCATTTATTGTAAATTTGTGTTATTTTCATGTTAGTATAGAAACACACTTGCCTGTAACTTTATTAAGATACAACCTTTAATGCGCACACATAACTTATTCCAGTGTGATTTTTATAAATTATTAAATTTTTTGTGCTGTATTTTATCAATTTCAATATAATCGTAATCACAAATGGCAATAGCAAACACTGGATTCTATATGATGTACAATATGTACAATACATTTGTATAAAAATTCAACTTCAATCTATGATTGTAATGATAGATGTTATTAACAATGCAGTGGCGGATCCAGGAGGAATAGATAGACCTGAGGAGGGTATTATATAAATGGAGGGTCCAGATTACACTTCCCACAATGGTTAGTGGGATATAAATTGCAATTTTATAAGGCAGGAATTGACCAGCTTCCCCCTCCCCCTCCCCAAATCATCACCCTCCCCAAATCCTCCCCTACTATAGGCCTATATTGTAATAATTATCATACTTATTGCATAGGCCTAGACAACATTTCCACATTATTTTCTTTAATTACTATTGGACTTAAGGGTTTGAAACCATTGCTTCATATTTCACTTTTGTCATTGAGCAAGACACTTTCTATTTATGTCTCTTCACAATGGAGTCTAAAATTAATTAGTACCAGAACAAGTGCTAGAAAGGTCAACCATACCATTTGTGTGGGAAAATTGAGGACACAACAGCATAATACTACTAGTCTGGCTCCAAAACCATTTGTTCATTGTCTTCAGCTTTAGAGCTATGGTTTTAACTTTGATTATTCATAGAATAAAGTTTCATTTAAAGTGAATTTGCATTTGTTTCTTGATTTGATGCCCATGCATGCAACCCAAACTCGACAGACTGTTTGGTGCTCCTCATACGGCTATATTTGATTATTATACAACTTATTAATATTGAATGCTTGTTAATTGCGTAATGTGGGTCAAAAACCAACATATGAATCAGTTTAATCTATTTTATCACATGTATTGTTTGTTATGACAACAAAGGAAAGATAGTTTAAACAAACTGAACAATTTTGAAGTGTGAGATGTTCTGTACGATAGATTCCTTCATCAGGCACTCTTTGACAAGCCAATTTCAAAACAATGAACACTGAACAAGGAATTGCTTTAATTTTTGCATTTATTGTTCTATGTAGATCTCCCTGTAATTAAAGACCCTCCAATTTAAATTTAATTCAAATTTACAATTACAAATGTTTTTTTTTTTTCTTTATTATTCTAATTAGAGACCAAAGTTGTTAAAAACCATGGAGACCCCGGTTTCAAAAAGTAGTCTTCATTTGGAGGGGGACCAGTAACAGCAAAATTATTGAACCAAGTTGATTATTTTTAAATTGGAGAAACTTCCAACGTGATTTATCCTTTTAGACATGATCTCCAGAACATCAAAAAGTAGAATACTCCATCAACAAAATAGGCCTACAACTGACAAGCTAGCTTAATACCATCTCTTCAAGAAAATAAACAAAAACTTTTTCACTTTCAGACATGTAAAAGTTCACTTAATATCAATGTATATATAAGAAAAGGTCACATTTTATCATAGCATAAGTGGGTAGTCAATGGAAGAGTGAAGTGATACCGGTATTCGAAATTATCTACCTAATGAAGTAGGTATTTGACATGATTTTAATCAATTTTTTTAAGATAAACATAATTTGGACTATGAACCTACACTACAACTATGATTTAACCAAACCATCAAATGGTGGAAGTACTGAAGAGATTAGTACCACTGAATTACTATGGAATAAAAGAATGCCCAAATAATATTAATACAAAAATTCCAAACAATCGATAAAAATAAATACAATTTGTTTTTAAATCCTCTGGACACTCCCACAGCACCAGCCTGGTAGGAACGTAGTCCTGTATTTACAATTCGAGTCAAGAGGTGATTTGTAACTTGTGGCAACAGTTTAAAAGCACCTATATTAGTAACCATACTCTGAACTAAGATTTAGCAAATAAATTCTAATAGAGGTTTTATTTGAACAACTTTGTACAGTGAACTTAAATAAACAATACTATATTACTCTTAATTACTAATATGGAAGGAATTCAGTTTTTCTCAATGTTTTGAATCTTCAGCAGAGCTCAATATCCTCACTGATCTTGTTGCAGTATTAAAATTTAAGGACTTAAATTTGTTGTACGAAATACAGCCAGCTTATTTAAACTACATATAATACTTTGCACAGTGAATGCAGTGATGATGTCTAGAGGTAGGTTATGTTGACATTAGCAGTGACGTTATTACATTCTACTGTTGTTAAGAATGAATACAGATATGATAGAATCTTGTATTAGCTAGTGATAGCCTAATGGACCGGGGTAAATAAGGCCTCAGCACTGCAGGGTCCTTCCCCCTACAAATGCATGGTGAAAAAGCTTACTTGGTCTGCATAGCAACCAGTGGCGGCTCTAGGATATAATTTATGGTGGGGGGAGGGGGCTAAGTATTTATGGGTGTAACTATAGCGTGCAGCGTCATCTGAGGGCCGAAGGCCAGAGCCAGTGGTGGGTATGGGAGGGGTGTCCCCTCCTCCCAAAACGAGACTTTCTCCAAAATTGGGACTTCTAGATAGCCGGAAAACTAGGCCAATTTTTCTTTTTTTTTTTTGGTCCGACTGCCCATCGAGTTTTAGCCGATGGGTGGGGGGGCTTGACGAGACCGATGGGGGGGCTTAAGCCCCCTGCCCTGCTGGCGCCGCCACTGATAGCAACTGCGGGGTGAAAACATTCACTCTTAATGTAAACTTACTCAAGAACGTATGTCATTCTGCAAAACAGCAAAGTACTTACATGAAGCACAAAGCTCTTAACTAACATCACTATTGTTACTGCGAATGGAAATTTGCTAGAAATGCCAAAAATTATAAATGTATAATGATTTTTGTCATGTACACTTGAAATAAGACAGATATGATATGCCCTCATACCAACGACTGAAATTAAGTGACAATTTTCTTTCAAAGTTCGCAATTACCCTCAATTTATAGTACATAATCATTATTGTAGGTGATATCTATAAATATATGTAGCAGAAAAATAAAAACTCTTGTTTATATCATGTATAACGAATATCATAGTTATCATTATACAGTAATCATTAATACATATCAAAAAGAGAAGACTTAGCTAAATCCCACATTATTAGATATTATTATTTACAGCAAACCTTATTTGAACGTTGTGTTAGTATCTTCTATGAATATTCATGACTATAGCAATTTGCATGTAGATAGGCCCAAATATGTACAATCTATGACTGCAGCACTCTGTAGTGCTGTATATATTTTTAGAAACCCGTGTCCATAGCAACATGGCCATACTGCTCAATAAAGCTAACAGGATGTCATCTACAAGCGGTTAGCCTAAACACAATACAGCAGTAGCATAACCAACAAATCATATCAACTACGTGTATTACATAAATGGAACACTCTTTAAAATCGCCTTATAGCTCATAAAAAATAATTTTTTTCATAAAAATATTCCTTTGGAAATCTCAATGGAAGCTAACTATCTTTTATTCAACCTTGTTTGTCAGTCATACTGAAAAAATATTAATTGCACCTTTAATAAATACGATACATATTAAACTAGCATCCACCAATAACAGCCAACATGTAAAATGACCCACATTCAACTCAACTATTTCTGCTAAGCTCTTCTGTTTAGAAACATCTGCTGTAGCTATTCTTGACTATTAATTCACCTGAGGGTTTGGGTCCAGTTTATTGGGTTGTAGCGGAGTAACTCCTGCTCGCTGCGATTTCTGTACCTCGCTTCTAATCGCCTTTGCTCTTCCCTGGATTCAATCAACTACAAAATGAATGACAAAAAAAATTATGTAATGTTCTGTCCACTGTTTTCTACGACCGATACTTATGATTTCTATGACCTATATATGGGCATGTCATTATCATACCCACATGAGCATATTTGATGGTGCCAACATACTTTTTTTATTCTCTAGTAGTGAACCACTGGGTACTCAGTTATATTCCTGGGTAGATGAGATGAGATGAATAAAGTGCCTTGCCTAAGGACACAAGTGACTTGCACAGCGTGAGTTCCAAACCCCCTGACCTCAAGGTTGGGAGTCCAAGCCACAACCGATGCGGCAACCGCTTCTACTGTGCTGGTTTACTCTTGCCAAAATATACCAATGATTTTTATTCTATTTTTGTACGGCAGAGCAGTTGAATAAAGAAAGAACGCACTGTCACACAAAAATTCTTGCTGAGCATATACCTTTACTCTTTTATAAACTTACCCTTTTGTTCTCATCTCTAAATTGCATGAGAAATGTTATCTTTTTCTGATAGGCTTCTTTATCTTCATTAATACATTTCTTGTCATAGTTGACGGCATCTTCACTCTCTTTTACTTTATCTGTCAATTGTTGTTTCATTTCTTGATCCTTCCCTGACATCTGATCTTTCAAAACCTCTCGAATACCTTTCCTTTTAAGAGCAAAGCAATAAAAAATTCATGAAGAATTTTTTTAAACAAATCTAAAGTTCATTTAATTAAAATTACAGCTCTCCTTCCAACTTTAGACTTGTCCAATTAAAGACCATACATGCAATTGAAGACAACTTTTCTGTGATCCCAAATTCACAAATGTCTTAACTATATTTAATCTAAACCAAAGTTGGTAAATGGAAACCCCAGTCTCAGGAGGAGACCTTCAAATATTTCTTAAATTAGCTATTAATTTTTAAAAGCAGGATTCATACGATTTCATTAAGTTTTCCTATCAAGACAACTTCTACACAAATCAATGGTGATGTTGGTAGTCTATGAGCTTTTTCGATAGATCGAAAAAGAATGAGGAAGTTGCATGGTTGTGGAGCCACTTGTGCTTGGCGCCAGGAGTCGACTGTTCTATTATGTTTCGAGGGGTGTTTCTCGTGTGAGAAAGAATAGGCAATTTGTCGGTTTATCCAGGTAAGTATTCACGAAGTAGACTATCTACATATATGTTGAAGCTTGCAGTATCTAGATTTTCGTTCAAGGAAAAACTAAATTTGTCAGTTTACTGATAATTTTGTGAATAACAAGAAAGTGAAATGTCTCTATAGTACAGTATTATCCTCTCAGTTTTTATCTAGACTTTCATTCCTTTATACCTTTGTCCACAGTGGTAATTTTTATGTGAAAAACAATTGTGACTCGATACTTGGTTATTACTGTAATGGAATAGAGTAGTACCCTGGGTTTCTCTTTTCATTTGCAAAATTTGGTTGGGCTTCTATTCTGAATGGGCTTCGGAATGGGGCTAGTTTTGCAAAGTAAAGGGAGAGGGGGGAAGGGTGCCACTTTCACTGTTCCCTGGAATTACTGTACTCCCATAAAACAATAAATAGGGCAACTGTAACATCAATCTGTGTCATGAAAGTGTATTAACCGACATTAAATCACCTAAACTGTACATACCAATGCTATCTTGAAAAGAAGGCTATGGGTTTCTTTTTAAATAGGACTTTTTTTCGAGGCTACTTTTGCAAATTAAAGAGGTCGGGGGGGGGGCTTCATTTCGAGATAGGCTTCTTCTCGAGATTAAACCCACTGGACTTCCATTCAGTATTTATACAGTATAACATCATCATGTCTATGTAAAGGTAGGCATATTACATAGAGTCAAACCAATTGCACTTTTATAACCAATTTCACAGACCTGTAAATCTCTTGTTCAGACTTGTTACCATAAAAAGGCTTTCCCCAGGCGCTATGGAAACGGTAATACTGAGAACGTTTCATATTGTTAGTTCGACTTTCATTCAAGTAGTGGGCATCTGTTGTTTCCAAGGTAACAGTCCGTCTAGTGAGTGGTGGACGAAGAGGGTTGATTCGTGGAAGAGTACCTGCTTGTGGTGACAGGTCCACATCTTGATGAGCAAGCAGAGAGCTCATGCCACCCCATGACTTTGATAGAGGATTTTGTTTTTCTACAAATGTTTGTGAACGTCTAAAGAACCTCTGTTTCTGTGGTGGGTGGAATTCACTAATAAATGTTTCCTTTGGAGTCAGCCTTGGTAGTGGTGTTGCCATCGTTTATGCTCAGCTCTAGTAGGTGAAGATACACAGATAAATATAAATAGGGCCTACTGTATACAACCTCTAAACTAAGGCATCAACAAAAACACAATAAATAATTTAAACATAAGTTTAAATAGGCTTAGAACAAAAGGCTGGGGCTAATGTTGAATCTGTATCTTTTTTTGAATTTTATTGTAGAGGATGGCTATTATGATTAATTGAAAAATTAATATTATTACCAATCATGTCATGATGAAGACCATCATCGATATCGATCGGTGAATAACGAGCAAGAATAAAAATTGTACATAAAATTATCACAGACTGTACTGACCAAACTGACGACTGTACAATTTAGTTTATATTTTTTAAAAATTTAATCACCACAGTCAACAACTGTGAAGTAAAGGTGGTCACAACTAAAAAAGGAGACAAGTTTAAAGTACCTTACTAATTACCTCATCCAGCCTTCCTCATATAAATAAGAAAACATGAACACAGCAAATCACTGAGGACACGACACGCGAGAAAACAACAGTGAGAGAAGGTGCGGTCGTCTTTTGTTGTTCAGATGGGAACTACATACAGCACTCCGCTGTGTCAGCAGGCTTTTTCTTCCTCAAAAAATCACTCGGTTTTCTTTCATATCCCGAACTCCCTCTTGAATTCCTGGAATGTTATGATGAAGCCAGAAAACGGCCTACCCCCCACTTAAACTAATTAACGTCTAGGCTGATGTTCCTCACTTCAATTCAAGTTCAGCATCTGATGTTGTGATTTTATGTGCGTATCCAACGTTGTAACGTGAGAAAGCTCCTGTGTGTCGTGTAACCAATGTAACTCATAGAAACATAGTCTTAATTGTCCAGACAGCTTCATCTGCTACTACCTCATGTGTGTGGGGTTCAGCGTCTAGTACCGGTAGGAGCGCCTAGAGAGGGCAGCAATATACAATCACATGTCATCCATTCACGATTCGCTCGTCGCGTTAGACAGTTGAAAGGAAAACAACAGGATACTTTTACTAAAAACTAAAAGGTAAGCTAAGAAGAAGGAGGAGGCCTAGCCTATCAGCTCTCTGGTAGGCAGCAACAGGGAGTCGGGCCTGGCCTTATACCCTAGCTAGGAGGAGGCCTAGCTCTGAGTCTAGGCATAGCCTACTCTCTTTGCGTAGGCTGAGGCGCTGACGCCACTCCACTACGCCGTTTTCACGAATCGGTAGACAAACAACCCAAGTCAGTTGTGCCTAACTAACCAACAGAAATAAGATAAGCTTTGAGGCTAAATTCTTGTCTCACATTTTTTTTTTCTCTGATCACATGTCATCCATTCACGATTCGCTCGTCGCGTTAGACAGTTGAAAGGAAAACAACAGGATACTTTTACTACAAAACTAAAAGGTAAGCTAAGAAGAAGGAGGAGGCCTAGCCTATCAGCTCTCTGGTAGGCAGCAACAGGGAGTCGGGCCTGGCCTTATACCCTAGCTAGGAGGAGGCCTAGCTCTGAGTCTAGGCATAGCCTACTCTCTTTGCGTAGGCTGAGGCGCTGACGCCACTCCACTACGCCGTTTTCACGAATCGGTAGACATCTTAAAGTGATGACAAACAACCCAAGTCAGTTGTGCCTAACTAACCAACAGAAATAAGATAAGCTTTGAGGCTAAATTCTTGTCCTCATGTTATCTAAAAATTCTTTAAACGGAGGGTTGTATCACATTTATTTTTTCTGGAAAATGTTCAAAAAGATTATTGTAGAATTTCTACACCACTATATACTAATACTATATGATGGAAAAAAAATTGAAAAATGTTTTTGACCCCTGAAATCAAGATGCAAAATAAAGAGCCTATTGAATAGATAGGTAAATAGATGATGAGCTATGCTCGAAAAACGTATTATTTCGAATAATGAAAATATTGGCAATATATATAATTTATAATTTTCATACTTATTTTCTTACAGAATTTAATTAAATTTGGCCAATTCATAAAGTATATACATTAAATTATATAAAAAAATATTCTTTCTTAAATTTTCATGGATACCTAACATTTAGTGTTAAAAATGTAAATATCACAGATATTACATTTAAAATTATTCTGTCATATTTTGAACAAAATTAATTTTGTGGGATATAGTTATCCAAAGTACTCTTTATAATTTATCATATGTTTAAAAAATAATCTTTAAATGATACTCATAACTGTAGTCTCTGTAATAAATTACCATTCCTTTCCAGATTGTAACATATAGAACATTCTAGAATTACATTTATTTGATCAAACAAACAGTGAACTGTAAACCACATTGGTAATTAAAGGAACACAGAAGATCATGTGGAAGCTTCTAGATTCTGAAATGAATGCTTATTGGTTAATTATAATGTAAGGTGACCAATGAGGAACTTGGGCAATATAGAATGCTCTGGATAGCACTGGAGTTCTAGGGATAATGTATATAAGACAAGATATATTTCTTTCTGAAGCTTGTTTGAAACACATGTTAATGTGAATGTTATTGTATTTTTTTGATACTGGATTCTTGTTGGAGTTTACACAGAGGAAACGTTTATTTGAGAGTTGTGTTACAACATTGTGAACCTGTGTTTATATCTTATATGTCAAAGAGTGATTCCTAGTCATTTCTTTACCGCTTGGAAATATGTCAAGAAGGAATTCATGACAGTCTCAAATATGACATTTTGAGAGTGACAATTAAAAAAATTTATTACAGATGCAGGGATGAGGGAAGTACCCCCGACAACCTTTTTAAATAAAGAATCCCATAATTAACACAAAATTCCCAGACAAAATAATTTTTCCCCGACAAATTAATTTTTTTCTAACTGTCTATTATACACATCTAGATGTGTATAAGAGACAGGTGTACCCCCTTGTCGGGGAGCTGGGACCCCTCGTCGGGGAGTTCCTGGCGCCACCAATGTGATACAGTACTGTATATGCTGTGCCAATGAACCATGTTGCTACAGAGAAGTTTATTGGTGTCTCATTTCTACCATCCCACTACAAATATACTAACAGCAATAATTTTATATTTCAGAGGCAGTAACTATGAAAGTATGGATAGTGAAGACTGTTTGATGTCTGGAACAACAGTAGATTTTTATGATGCGCACTTAACAGTGTGTGCAGGTCCCAGTACTTGTGAGGAACAAAATGTGAGTGAATGCAGTGAATTGAAACAATGTGAACATGATGGCCATTCAAACAAATATTTAAAAATGAATGATAAAGAGATGACATGTGAGTGTAAATGCTGTGGACAAAATTTTGATATAGATACTTTGAAAACACATTTGGGAATCAAAACAGAAGATGTGCTACTACTTCAGTGTGAACACTGTGGAAAGCAATTTGATAACAGAAGTGAATTGGAAAAACATTTGAAAACACATACAGGAGACTCAACTTATGGAAAGAATTCTGTGAGTTGTGACAATTTGACAGTGCACACAACATATGAATGTTTTCATTGTGGAATGAAATTTCCACACAGTAGCCTATTGAAAAGTCATCTGAGCATACACAGCGGAGAGACACAGTATGAATGTGAACATTGTGGAAAGAAGTTTAATATAATGACCAGTTGGAAAGCACACGTGATGATACATGCATTAGAGAAGCCATACAAATGTGAATATTGTTTAAAGAAGTTTAAAAGAAATAATGCTTTGAAAACACATTTATTAATACATACAGCAGAGAAGCCATATGAATGTGAATATTGCGGAAAGAGGTTTTTAAAAAAGAATGGTTTGAAAACACATTTAATGATACATACAAGAGAGACGCCATACGAATGTGAACATTGTGAAAAGAAGTTCTATCACAGTATCCATTTAAAAAACCATGTTTTGTGTACACACACAGAAGATACAAATTCTGTGAATAGTGGCAGGAAAACTGATTTGAAGATGCACACAGCGTATGAATGTTTTCATTGTGGAATGAAATTTCAACACAGGAGCTCGTTGAACAAACATATGAAAATACACAGTGAAGAAACAACATATGAATGTGAACATTGTTTCAAGAAATTTCAAAACAGGAGTTCATTGAACAAACATCTGAGAACACACAGTGGAGAAAGACCATATGAATGTGAACATTGTGGAAAGAAATTTCAAAGCAGGAGTTCATTGAACAAACATCTGAGAACACTCAGTGGAGAAAGACGATATGAATGTGAACATTGTGGAAAGAGGTTCAACGAAAATAGCACTTTAAAAACACATATGATGTTGCATACAGGAGAAAGGCCATACGGATGTGAATATTGTACACAGAGATTTATTACCAATACCAGTTTGAAAATACATTTGATGACACATACCGGAGAGATGCCACATGAATGTGAATATTGTGGAAAGAGGTTTAAGACAAACAGAAGTTTTAAAACACATTTATTGATACATACAGGAGATAAGCCATATGAATGTGAACATTGTGGCTGGAAGTTCAACCAGCATATCCATTTAAAAAACCATATTTTGAGTAAGCACACAGAAGATAAGAATTATGTAAATAGTGGCAATTTCAAGATGGACACAGCATATGAATGCACTGATTGTGGAAAAAAATTTCCACACAGTAACTTCTTGAAAAGACATCTGAGAATACATCGTGAAAAAACATATGAATGTGAACATTGTGGAAAAAAGTTTAGTCTAAGTGACCGTTTGAAAATACATTTGAGGATACATACAGGAGAAAAGCCATACAAATGTGAACATTGTGAAAAGAGTTTCAAACAAATTAACCATTTAAAAAAACATATTTTGCGTATGCACAAAGAAGAGAATTAATCTATTTATCTGAACATTGCAAATACTTCTACAGTTGATTATTATGAGATGGCAGACTGTTCTAAACATCAACCACTCTAGAGCTAAATGTATATTTTTGGACATCTGGTCTGGTCCTTTTTTTATATAATACTCAGGGGCAGATTTAGGGGGGGGCCAAACCCCTTTTGGGAGGTGAAAAAAAGAAGGAAAAAGAAAAAAAATGATAGCCCACAACACCTCAAATGTTATTTTCGAGCGTCTAGAACACAACAATTTCGCGGGGGTATGCCCCTGGACCCCCTAGGACATTGTTGTCTGGATCGGCCCAAATTTCGGGCCTCCCTTTCGGTCCCCCCCCCCAACCTTTTGGACATCTCTGGATCCGCCCCTGATACTGTAACTTAAACTTGTGCCATCTTGGAAAATGAAAGAACGTATTTATTTCTAAATTGTCGACGCCATTGATAATTCTAAAAACTTGAATCATATTCAATTCAATTTAATTCAATATAAAGTTTATTTTCACATCATCAACACTAAATACATAGGCGGAGAAATACATAAGCAAAAACAATAATTGTTAAATATGTAGGCCCATCAGAATATTTAAATATAGTGGGAAAAGGGTCGCCACAGCAAGCAAGCTTTATAACGGGCGCCCATTGATTATGAAATAAAATTAACAACTGCATCGCAAAAAAATAAAATTTGAAGTAACAAGTCAATAGTCATTGAAAATTCTGAAGAAAAGTTAAATATGATTACATAAAGCACAATTTTTTATACATAAGTTTGATTTACACTTATAATTTTCATAGTACTTTTTTATACATAAGTTTGATTTACACTTATAATTTTCATAGTACTGGTTATTTAAATTTATTTTGAATATATAAATACTATTACCGAGTCTTAATTCTACATTGATATCATTCCAGATTTTAGGGCCTACAGTATATATGTTAAGGATATGTGGACTATATAAAACTACATTATTATTATTATTAATATTGTTTAAGGCCTATTAATTAAAATAATTACCTAACTTACTGATCTGAAAGTGAACCTAATAAATCGTATCGTATCATTATCGTTATTGTTATAAAAAAATGTGTACTGTACATAAATGATTGCGGTTATACAATCACCTAAAATTGCTGAGAAAAAAATATAATTAAAAAAAACGAAGAAAAAAGTATATGCACTTCTGTATTTACGACGTTGTCTTATAATTATCAATAGAAAGTGATCCATTATAAATAACATACGCAGTACTTGATGATGGCGAAGTTCCATAAATGGACACATTCCAGAAATCCATCCAAACTCCTTGACCAAGAGTAGTTTCCAACTGGGACTACTTCTAATTGTCATACAAGCAAGGACTTTTAACTGTTGGCCCTATTTATAAGCTTTTTTGAGTGTTTTTCCCCGCCGCTTGTGTGTCAATAACGTGCCACACACAAAACTTGTCTTTCTTTCTACAGGTTTCACTTGAATTTTCTTTGTTCTCGTTTGTCTCCGAGCATGGTGGTGGATTTACGGGGGCTGAGCCGACCCGGGCCACCATAAATATTATATTTAAAATGAAGAGAAAACAAAACGCAGTAATTATAATCCAATTTAAATCTAGTGAGAGCTTCATTTCCGGCCATCTAGAATTTTTTTTTGCTCAACCCCAACCATGGTGGGGCCGCGGTCAGCTGAATTGGGTTGACCCAGGCCTCTATCAGTGGACACCCACTGGTCCCTCACTAGACACCCTCTCTATTTCGAATTCCAAAAATCCGCCACGGCCCCCATTATGTTAAAGTCTCTCCTTGGACCGGTAGAGTGGTGGATGTATTTGCTTTAAAACAACAACATTGCTTTCACTACCCTGTTCGCAATTAGATCACTATAGGAATAATTTTCTGAATTCTCGATTTTATATATTTTAAACATCTTTTCATCTCACGCCCGACGTAAATTGCTTGTAATTATTTGTTTGTATTTGCAATTACCATTAATTCCATTTATTTACAATATACTGGTAACATTTACATTTTTATGGTAAAAATTTCATCAATCAATTTAATCATCAATGAATGTAATATAATTAATGACATTTGTTTGGTTTGTTTTGTTTTTGTTTTGTTTTCTTAATATATTAAAGTTGCTATATTCATTGTTAGGCCTATGAAAATGTTGGTAGACTACAGAACATTGGAAAATAAAAACACTGAGTAATGTTTTCTTTCAAAACCATTGGCGGATTTAGGGGATTGGGGTAGCCGACCAGGGCCCTCTCCCTCAATGGGGATTGGGGAAAAAGAGTATTCAAATTTTAAGTCTTAGAGTGGTATTTCCAGCTTCATATGGGTGCCATAATTAAAAATTGTTCTACCCCAGCCCCAAACATGGTGGTGCTGAAGTAATATCGACCCTCCATCTCTGAAGGTCCCTCCATGACCCCTTACTTCTTGGACTGCAACCGAAAAAAAAACAAACTTAAAAAAGCTTAATACAGTACTAGAATACTACAAAATCTATTAAAACCAAGAACGTCTGGGCGCGAGGGCTCCTCCTACTCGACTTCAGAAGGGCTATATTCTTAGCGCGCCTCCCCATTTTGGTCCACTTCCTATAAATTCGCACCTACCAAAATAAAAATCCTGCATACGGTCCTGCCATTTGTCAAAAGTTTAATTCCGAAACCGTATTTATTCGAATAAACGCCCCGGTACGTTTATGTTGGGAAGGGTTTTTGAGATGCCGTTTATTCGAGGGAGGCGTTTTTATTTAAATTTTAATTCGAATAGATACAGTAACAGATTCGTCTATAAAGAAAGTATTCGGGAAGTAGGCCAATAATACATAGCCACCCCCTTTTCCACCTTTTTCACCAATTTAATAAATATTCAAAAATCGGTATCTAATTAACCATTTCCGAGTTCCAAGTGAATTATTTACGCAAATTACAAATACAAATAGAACCTGGCTTTTTATAACTTTATTTTTCTTAAATTCGTCTTAAATCCATAAATCCCAGGCCAGCCTTTCCCTGATAAATCCCTGATAAAATCATGAGGAATTAGTTGGCGCTTCTTTTTGACATGGTGTTGTGCTGATAATGAATTTTACTCCCTGCCATCTTGATGGTACTACTTCCTCAAATTTTCACCTCAGGAGCCCCTACAAAGTTTTATTTTCTATGACATCACATAAATTAAATTAAATCTATTGTTGCTGGAAATCCCTTGATAAAAATGATAATGAGAAATGTGTTGGTGCTTTATATGGACTATAAAGTGGTGATATGATGATGATGAATTTTACTATATAAAGGTCATTTCCAGCCATCTAGAGCAGAGGTGGGCATAAAAATCGGTCGGAGGGCCAAACCAAAGTGAATTTCTAATCTAAGACCGAGGGCCGTCCAAACTTTTATTTTTCCAGTGCGCTTCCAAAAAACCTCTGAGCACTGCTCTTACACCACTTTAATCCAAGTTTTTAATATTACTTTTTACATAATTCATATTTGCGGCCCCGCTGGCTGCACTCTGCCCACCTGTGATCTAGAGGTTGGCCTACTATTTCCTAAAATTTTAGCGCCTCACCCCCAACCATGGTGGGGCTGCTTTGGGTAGACCCTGTATCTAACAGTCTCATCCTGGCCAGCTTTCTTTCGAATACTGGCGCTGCTGTTGAGTTATTATTATAATAGGTCTACTAATAGGCCTATTATTTATGTGTCTATTGCAATTTTCACTTTGCAATTTACCCTCAAAACAGTCCTAAGACGTCTCGAATACGCTACTTCGCAGGGAAGACCCCTTGACCCCCACCGGCGGTCTTTGGGAAGGGACAGTCCACAGTCCCGGCCGCACCGCTTCAGTAATACTTCGCAAGACGGCTCCTCTCCGTCCCTAGAAAATCATGGCTACGTTTCTGTGTTGGTCAGAGGATTGTTTAACTACATTTTCATTTTATGAAAAGTGCATATTATTAGTTGAAATGAATCTGCCATTATTAATAATATGATCATAGCTCTCAATGTGTATAAAAAATCGACACCCTGTGTCTTTCTGCCAAATTATTTTCTGATGGTCTCCGGTGGGGATAGTTTTACCTATTACACCTTTTATTGGAAAGTGTTTATCATATGATCAGTTATCTACAATCTAATATTTATACTATTATTCATCTCCCATGTTTTGTTGCTAAATAAAATTATTATAATAAGGAAGAATACCGCACCTAGAGGGCAGCATACAATGCGATCATCACCCATCATCAATCTACAGACAACCCTCATGTAATTATATAGTTACACCCGTCCCGGCCCGATAATATAACAAAAGTTATAATAATGCTGTGCCAATAATGAACCATTTCGCCACAGAAAGTTATTGATGTCTCATTTCTACCTTCCTATTAAAAATATACTAAGAGTAATAATTTTATATTTCATAGGCAGTAACTAATAAGAAAGTATGGATAGTAAACATTGTTTGATGTTTGAAACAACAGGAGATTTTTATGCTGCACACTTAACAGTGTCTGCAGGTCCCAGTACTTGTGAGCAGAAAAATGTGAGTGAATGCAGTGAATTGAAACAGTGTGAACATGATGGCCAATCAAAGGAATGTTTAAAAATGAACCATGAAGAGATGACATGTGAATGCAAACTCTGTGGACAAATTTTTGATATAGTTACTTTGAAAACGCATCTGGGAATCAAAACAGAAGATGTGCTTCTACTTCAGTGTGAACATTGTGGAAAGCGATTTGATAACAAAAGTGAATTGGAAAAACATTTGAGAGTACATACAGGAAATTCACCATATGAATTTGAAAATTATGTAAATAATTCTGTGAGTAGTGGAAATTTGAAGGTGCACACAACATATGAATGTTTTCATTGTGGAAAGAAATTTCAACACAGTAGTAAATTGAAAAGACATCTGAGAATACATAATGGAGAGACACCATATGAATGTGAACATTGTGGAAAGAAGTTCACCCAAAATAGTACTTTGAAAACACATTTGATGATACATACAGGAGAGAAGCCATACAAATGTGAATATTGTGGAAAGAGGTTTAATAGAAATACCAGTTTGAAAACACATTTAATGATACATACAGGAGAGAGGCCATATGAATGTGAACATTGTAGAAAGAGGTTTGAAAGCAGTAGTAAATTGAAAAGGCATTTGAGAATACATACAAAAGAGATGCCATACGAATGTGAACATTGTGAAAAGAAGTTCAATCAAAATATCCATTTGAAAAAACATCTGATAATGCACACAGGAGAGAGTAGAATACAAAAAGGAGAGAATTTATTTATTAATCTGAACATTGCACAAAGAAGTTTAAAAACAGTAGCAATATCAGAAAATGTGTGACGATACCGGTGTATTTAAACAATGAGGAGAGAATTTTATAGAACAAAACACTTAAAAAATATTTATTCAGCGGCGGATCCAGAGATTTACGGACGGGTGGCACTCACAATATTAAGTCCACACCGCCACGCCCACCTCCGCCCCACCATGGTTGGTGTAAATAAGTGGTAAACAATCAAGCTCTCCTTTCTACCACTGCTGAATCGCCACTCTGAACTCATGGGTGCAGTCCATTTCATCCCCCTTTCCTCTCTTTAACTCAAATTTTTTTACTTGACCGATGGCCCATGCTGGATCCGTGCCTGTTATGATAGTTTATACATGAGAGATTCCATATACAATTGAACATTCTGGAAAGAAGTCTATTTATAGTAACAACTTAAATTAAACACACAGGAGACACCATGTATGTGAACATTCTAATTTCAGTTTACATTTTAATACAAAGTACATTTTTAAACCCCTACATTTTGAATAAAACTATACAGGATGGAGGGACTTCTTAATGTGAGTGTAACATACAGTAGTACCCTATAGTTGCATGGCACCAAAGGCGTTCACCCCTCTTGTTCCCCAGAGCATACCTGTAGTAGTGTTGCAATCTGTGACTAACTGTATGTACATTCCTGAGGTTGTATTTTCCTACAGTACTATTCCTCCAGGAAGTTGCTAGTAAATCATGTGTTCCCAAATTATGATGACCATTATTAATTAAATGAGTCATCAATCCATGTTTCCTGTCCCTATGTATATATGTACCTGTGTTTAGTTAGGAAATCAGTTCGAGTATTGATTTTAGAGACAATTACATCAGTCCTAATCGGTGTACTCTTCAACATTGTTTTTATATTAAAGTATATTTGCGACTATTTTACGTTTTTCTCCTGATGCATTATTGCATTGCCTTGTCTCTCGACACGTTACCGATACATGGTGGCTAGCGGTGGTTCTAAGCTATAAGCACCTTCGAGCACTGTACTATATTTTTTACAAGAAGTGAACTTTGATTCTTAAGTTTCACAAGAACTTAAGAATCAAAAGTTAGCAGATGTCTACAAGAATTTATTAAAGTTACCAGAAGTTGACAAGATTTCATTGAAGTGATAATTTACAAGAACGTTACCAATACAGTGAGCATTGTAAAAATAAATTTAATATATGCTTAATTATTCTAACTTTATTTTTTCCGAAATAAAATATAACAAGCAGACTTGCTTGTAATTGTACAAACTGCTATGACCTAATCTTATATTTTGTCTTGTACCCATGATTTTGTGACTGTAGAAGAAATATAATAAACAAATGTGTTGAAGATTGCGGTACACTACGTTGGTAGTTCTGAAAAGAACTGTTGTAGTTGAGAAAGTCTCGACGTTTCGATTGAGTTGCTTCAATCGTCTTCAGGAGAATAATATCTGCAGAAATTCCAAATAAAATCAAAGCAAGCTTCAACACATATGTTATTACTTCTCCATGCAAACCTTTAAACAATACTTTATAACAAACAAAGTAAATTAAAACAAAAGCAATTACATAAAAGTATTTGGCCTTTAAATATTGTACAATATTTTAAAAGTCTATTACTACAAATATGAAATTTTGACAGGCTCCTACAATATGTTCATAATTAATGATCTGTCAACAATTATATAAAGTATTTTTCCCTCTATTAGATCAGACATTCCCAGATCACAAATGTAATTTGTTGAAAATTCATAAAGCGATAACAGTACTGTGACATAGATGGGGAAGGGATTGTTCCTGACAATCATTATCGTGCCATGCCCCCGGCCATGCCTAAATAATACATGATAACAAAAGAATAAATATAATTGATTGATAAATATTTTTTGAATGTTTTTATATAGTGGTTTTTCATTGTAGTGCATTTATGGTCCCTGTCATGGCGTTTCGTTGTTGAGTGAAATGAAATAAAATTAATAAAACATAAGATAAAAAGATTCAAGAACTTTTATTGGTCTATATTTAAATAATGAAAACTTTACCCCCTGTTCTAGTTCAGTCAGGTAAATTTGACTCATCGCATGAACGCACTCGCCAAGACTACACTGAATTTCTTACCTGCTATTCACTTAAAGCTCGTGACGTCATTCGACCAACTGTCAAAATCAAAAAGGCTACATACGATTTCGAATCGAAAATTTTGAATGAAAAATGATCATTGGCTTCATAACCAATCAGCACGAGACTTATATGATAAGAAAGCTTAATTTATGAGCTACACTTGACGGTTTACTCCAAAGTGCAGTGGCCTATGGTAATCATATTGTGTAATTTACAAGATATACTGTATGAAATTGTATAATCCTGTCTCTAATTGACATGAAACAAAACCGGGCCTACCTAAACCTAGGGCCTATAGGCCTATTTCCAGTGGCGGATTTAGGAGGGGTGGCGCGTAAGGGGCGTATTCCCCCCCCCCCTATTTTTTTGCAAAGAAAAAATTACACCCACAGTGTTTGAGTCTTCTTTTCCTACCAAAAACACCCTAGGAGAGTGCTATTCATAAATCCTGTCTCTTATACACATCTAGATGTGTATAAGAGACAGGTACTACATGGCTAAACTTGTTTTTACTTAGGGGTTAATTTGTAAAAATCGTACACAAATCATACGACGTCACTGACAACGCCGGGGACGGAAAATCGATTTTGAGATTAATTTTCCGAATAAAGTTATACTAAATAACTTCTAATAACGAACTATTGTCTTCAATTGTCTTTGTTGGTAATTCAAGTGTCATTTTATCTATTTTTCTGTGATATTACCATTCTCAATAATTTATAAAACACCCACATAACAACGTCACGTTAGATCGATCGGTGGGGACGCCATCGTGACGCCGGTAGGGTCAATTTTCGTCGGAAGGTATCAAGATGATAAACAGTTTCATTGGACTAAATTCTTGCTTATGTTAACCACCTGCTTACATAAGATTATACTGACACTGGTTTCAAATGAAATAACTGACAACTTTGGTTGTATCAATGTATTAATAAGTACAGTACATAAAACTATGTCACAAATACATATGTAGAAATGCAAAGGGACATCACGCTGTTTTTGTACCGGTATTTTTCTTTAAATCTGTATGCCTGATCACCATCTTCATACACAGTATAATAGATTCAAGATGTTTCAAATAACATCAGCCCCCCCCCCCCACCACCATTTCAAGACATCTAGATACGCCACTGACTTACATGGCCAGATGAATGAAAATACTCAATCGATGTGCAACAAAATCTTAACCAGCCTTCAATATGCCCCTCACGATGTCACCGGGGACGCAACTGCAAAAATACTATTTTTGGGAGCGAAGGGACGCTACCAATAAACAATCAATAAACCACCGGGTTTCTGAGTTGATTTACAAGGTACTACATGGCTAAACTTGTTTTTACTTAGGGGTTAATTTGTAAAAATCGTACACAAATCATACGACGTCACTGACAACGCCGGGGACTCCAACTCGATTTTGATATTAATTTTCCGAATAAAGTTATAATAAATAACTTCGAATGACGAACTACTGTCTTCAGTTGTCTTTTTTGGTCAGTCAACTGTCATTTTATTTATTTTTCCCGTGATATTATTCTCAATAATCTATAAAACACCCACATTTGATCGATCGGTGGTGACGCCGGTAGGGTCAATTTTCATCGGAAGGTATCAAGACGATAAACATTTTCATTGAACAAAATTCTTGCTTATGTTAACTACCTGCTTAGCCTTACCTATACTGACACTGGTTTCAAACAAAGAACACTTTAATTTTAGCTTTTTTCCTATGTACGTAGTTATTCCATTTTTAGAGTGTGGGTGTGCGCCCGCGAGAAATTGGACGGTTGGTTAAAAGTTGCTTGATCCTTCTATATTAAAAGAGATTGTTTGTTTAAGTAATAAGAAGTTTAGACCGCAAAACCTTGGAATATTTGCGCCAGGCGAAGAAACTCCGATTTCGGAGTAACTCTGTTTTCTATATCTAATCATTATTGGTATTGACAACTTTGAAAAAAATTATCACTAAATTTTAATGTGTGCAGTGAACTGTTCAGTGAACAGATGATGGAAAGTTTTCATTATGATAACTGAAATTTGCTTTGCTATGCTTGGTAGATAACATTCATTAAAACAACAAATAACGAAAATAACATTTATACAGTAGAATAGTAAGGTGAAAAGTTCAAGTTGAACCTGTGGATACTATTAAAACAAATGATTCTAGTTCTGCAGAGTGTACAGTATGTATCGGAGAATGTAGCCCCCGATGTAGCCTTATGTCCGATTTACATAGGCCTAGCAATTATAGAGAGGGTGACAGGTTCTTCAAAATGTTTTCCTCGTTTTTTGTTGACAATTGATGGTCATTTGCATCAGATCAGACTTAATAAGATGTTGTGTAACTGTCAAGGCATCTTCACATTAAATCCTTGTCATTATAATTTCTATTAAAACTTAGAATGCAAAAAGATAATATACTATAATAAGATTAAAATTGTACTCTTCTCATAGTTGTACTTCCTGAGAAAATAGAGCTTTTGAGATAACTATATCTTTGACACAATAAATTAGGTATTTATTTATTTTTTATTTATTATATTAATCATCAACAATGGTTTCAATTCACGTGGATCATCTCCTGACTAGCTCTTTTTTTTTTAACGACATCATCTGGTCTTTCCATGGACATAATAAACTTAATTATTTTTAGTAAGACCAAAGACCTATAAAAAAAAATACAATTTTTAAAGACGTTTTCACTAATAAATAAAGTGAATTTCTTAGCAGCCAGCTTAAGGATACTTATCATATAAATTAAATTATAATTTTATAAATCTCTGACTGTAGAACCTTGTTTGGTTTTTAAATCATAGTGTTTGGGATTACCAGTAGTGTGTTTTGCAGCGCTCCATATTTATTTCCATATTATTTATATAAATCGCCACTGGGGGCGCGCTTTACTTTTGTTTTCGCTCCGCCGAGAAGAAAGATAGAAGCGTCTTTAAATATAATTAATAGAAAACTATTCGTAAATTCTCTAAGTTAACAACTTTTTTCAGGTCAGTTAACATATTCAGTACATTAAAGGATTTGGTAAGTGTATACACATGTGTTCAACTTGCCTAATTTACAACAGATTTGGCAGATTTTAAATGAACTAAAATAAAGGATTGTCAGTTTTGATGAGCCTATTGTAGTCGACCGGTATGGAACGCCAATGGAGTAAAGTTTTATGAAGTATTTTTAGGGTTCTTGAAACTGTATTCAGCCCTTCATGGTTATTAATTTAATACTGTACAAAACTGGCACATTCAGCTTTTTCTCTAGAATTATTACGTCTCAAAATATGAGACTGAATGAATGGATGGATAGATTTATCTAGCTAGGCCTAGTAGTGTTTTTCAGTTGTCCTGGTGGTCATTATCACCTATTTTCGAAGGAGTGTACTACGTTCTTCAACATGTACATGGGCCATAATGCAAACGGGACCAATTGCTTAAACATCTCATATATCGTAACTTGCATTTCAGCCAATACAAGGAGAGCGGTGATGGAAATTGAACCAGGGACCAAGAGACATCCAAGGTTCACCACCAGTTTAGCTGACTGAGCTAAGCTGCGAACTTTAACTTCACTGCTTTAACAACTATACTGAATTCCAGGATATTTTATCCTGGAAATTGAGACCCTAGCAAAACGATGCTAATAGGCCCCTCGATGCTATCAGGTCAATCCGAATTGATAAGGAGCATATTGGAGTGGATGTTTCGCCCAATACTTATCAAGAATACATTTTAAGTGGTTAATTGTACAGGCAGCAACAGTTTCTTCATGCTATGACAGTGTTTTCCCCAGGGCAATAAGCCGTAACAGCCCTGTTACAGCTTCATTCAGAAAACAAGTTTACCGTTACAGCTTAAATTTACCAATACACCTTGTATTATTACTTGTAAATGTTCAGTACTGTATATCAATTGTTTATACACAAGCTCTACATATACAATTTCAAAATAGAAGGGAAATACATTCTATCTTTCCGTAAATTTGACATTAACAACAAATGATAAACTGTAAGCCAGTAGCCAAAGAAACTACAAGTCTGAGCTCTTGAACCTCGTTTATTTACAGCATAAACATTGATGGTGGGACCATGTTTCGCTGTGCTGTGCTAAGCCTACCTTCTCTGACTAATTCCAACCTTTTAAATTCCAGTGCCTACATCACTCTTTCTGAATGAGGTGTTGCTGCACGTTTTCAAATTACACCTTAAGAAAATCCTGGGGAGAACACTGTATGGTTATGGTTTTATATTTATATAGCGCCTTCCACGATCGAAACCGTCTCAAGGCGCATGAATTATTAGTAATTATTGCCATTGGTCACATTATTGAATCCATAATTTGAAACCTGTAACTTTCTTAGCTTCCTTTGATAGAATGGTCTATTTTATAAGATTTATGTTATTTAATTTGAATGACCATGATGGATTCATTGCAGTAGCCAAAATCCATTCTGATGTCATATTATTATTATTATTATTATTATTATTATTATCAATTTAACTTATCAACTAGATTTGTTTGCTGACTTTATACCCTCATTTTTATACTTGCTTCCAGATTCGATACCATGGATCAACTACCTTCTATAAAAGAAGTTACAACTGTGCCATATGAAAGGAGTTCAGGAGATGAATCCGATTTCGAAATCAAAACAGAAGATGTTTTATTTCAATGTGAACGTTGTGGAAAGGCGTTTGATAACAAAAGTGAATTGGAAAGACATTTAAAAGTACATGCTGGAGAAATGTCTTGTGAAAATGAGACCCCATATGAATGTAAACACTGTAATCAGAAATTTAATAAAAAAGAAAGTTTGCAAACACATTTAATGTCACATGCAGGAGAAAAACGATTTGAATGTCAATTCTGTGGAAAGAGAGTTACCAGAAGTACTACTTTAAGAACACATATGAGAATACATACTGGAGAGACACCATTTGAATGTGAACATTGTGGAAAGAAATTTAAAAGCAGGTTCAATCTGAAATTACATTTGAGAATACATACTGGAGAGAGACCTTATAAGTGCGAGCATTGTGGAAAGGGGTTTAGAATCTGCGGCAATTTAAATAAACACATGAGGATACATACAGGTGAAACACCATATGAATGTGAAGAATGTGGAAAGAAATTTAATCAAAATAGCACTTTGAAAACTCATCTGATGATACACAGAGGTGAAACACCGTACGAATGTGAATTTTGTGGAAAGAAGTTTACTCAGAATAGTGGTTTGAAAGCACATTTGAGGACGCATACCGGAGAGACACCATATGAATGTGAACATTGTGGAAATAAATTTAAACAGAGGAATGCTTTAAAAACTCATTGGACGGTGCACTCTGAAGACATGCCTTATGAATGTGAACAATGTGCAAAGAAGTTTAAACAGAAAAGCCATTTGAACAGACATTTGAAAACGCATACAAAAGAGAAACCATATGTGTCGAATAACAACCGATTTGGTTCAGATCACTGGTTAAGCATCGTTGGGTTATCAAATTGATTGTATACCAAATATTACCACATGTTTCTTAAAGTGTATCTAAAATGTATGGTTCTGTGTTGTAATTTAATTTAATTTGTCTTATGGTCAGAGAACGGTATGTACTGTACACTTGGCAGTGTGTGCGTCTTGCACTTGACTGCTAGTAAATTTGCAGTTTTAAATTTTTTATTCCCGATAAAAGAATGCAGATATTTAACTGAATTTTTTGTGTGTAAAATATACTACCTTAAAGTAGCATAGAATGCATTTCCTGAGATTTAGTGAAACAAATTTTTTAGGGAACCATGCCCCAGATTTTCTGGGGTAGGAGCTTTCGAACCTGGCATCACTGTTGTGGTCTTGTTACCCAGTACTTTTTTATTGCCCCTTTAGCATTAGATATGTCCCTGTCAGCATTTACACTCCTGTGGAATGTGTGAAAAATTGGTACTGTATTTATTGTGGTTGTCAGGTTAAGAAACTGTTTTGACCTAAATATTACACTGACTAAACAAATACACACATACATCATTTGTCATAAATATGTTTTACGATTAATGGAAAAAATAGGAGGAAAAATGAGTTAGTACCTTAAGAAATGTCTCGATTCAACGACATGAACGGTTCTATTGTAGACTGGGTCTGTTATAAAAGCTAACTAAATAAATAGTTTCAACGTTGTGTGTAATGTTAAAGCAATTGATTATGCGCTTACATAATTGTAAATACATTTCTCTGGTATATTAAATAATTAATAATTACTGTAACTCGATAAGGATCTGTTTTCTGACACAACTACAAGTTGCAACTATGCGTGGCAATGAAGGCTGTATAGATACAGTACTCCTCGTCCCAGGATATGACTTCTTTGGCCGCCATATGTAGGCATTATCCCATACCAGCTGTGGTGTAGCCTATTGAAGTCTTTGTTAAACTTCTTAATTGTAAGTGTTATTTGTCTGCACAATGTATTTTTTTCATGTACAGTATTATTTATTTTCAGGTAAAGAATGTCAAATTTATTATTTACAGGTATTCAGAAGTGTTAAAAGTGTAAGTTAATTGAGGTGTAATTTCAGTGAATAATTGAAATAAATCTAAACGTTTTGCGTTGCTACACAATTTGATTTTTCAATACAGATTGCGTTTTACTGTATGTAGTGGGGATGGCCTAATGGCCTTATATTCGTGTACCAACCAATGCTGTAGCCAGGATTTTCAAACAGCGTGGGACAATTTTAGGGTGGACCCAATTTACGCATAACCTTAAATAATGTGGACACATTTTACGCAAAAATATAAGCAATCTGGACCCATTTTCTAAAAATTTTACCCATTTTAGGTTAAATATGAGAAATCTGGACCCATTTTCCAAAAAGTGAACTCATTTTGTGCATACAACAACATAATTTGAACCCATTTTTAAACTTTGGACCCATTAGAAAATCGTGTGTCCCAACTGTCCTAATAGCTGGCTACAGCATTGGGACTAACACGTATGATGTAGATTGTCAAAAAGTACCTTACTGTAGTACTCGTAGTACATGTAGTGTATATATTAAGAGGATTAATCATTCAATAGCAGCCTAATTTTGTTTTCCTTTGCAAAAACCTGAATACTTAAATGGGAATAAAATGTACCATATTGATACCGTTCTATCATACAGTAGGGCCCTATGTGAGTGTTACAATATTTCATTGTAGGCAAGGTTAATTCCCACAATCAACTAATAGCAGCCTAAAAAAACTTGAATAATTTAATATTTGTAGAAATATATATATGTAGTGTACGGTATAGATAACCATATCGTATGCGAGTGTTAATTTGATTGATTTCTTATTGCGTGTTTAAAATTCCGTGGTCAAGATGACGATTGTAAGTAGAAAATTCCCATGTAGATTCCCACGATCAACTGCGGTACCGTATTAATATTGATCCAGTCAGTCAGGACTGTGTTTTACCACATAATTATTTGGGCGAACTTAGTATAGCCTAGCATACTTTTTTTGTGAACTAAAGGAAAAAAACAATGCATATATTGCATTTATACATGTACACAATTAAAACTTTGCAAAGGTGTTCATTTCAGACCGGTTTTGGATGATTCATGAAAATAGACAAAAAGATTAATGACTGCAACAGGAAAGTTCTAGGGGACAATGACACCATGAAGGGATAAATTCAACACTCATATACATTTATATTATGTTTATAAAGGAACTATATACATTTTCTATAAATTGTCAATCTCTACCTGTGTACAAGCTGCCTCCTTTTATATTTTAGGTTTTGGCGTGGGAACTACATGATGGTCCAGACCCGCATCAAATTATCAAAGGTCTGCTTCTGTTCCAGAAAATAAAAACGAAGGTCCAGGTGCTTAGGCTCTGTTATTTTTGGACCTTGAAAATAATAAATAAAGAACGCACAAAATATAATAGAAACAATAAAACACTATATATAACCACAGTGTTATAAGTAACGTTCGTGTAAGATTCCGATAATTAACGTTAGCGGATGGCGTCATAACTTATTCATCTTGCTTTGCAGAGTACGTTAATTTCAGGATTTTACGTGCTCGACGTACGTTAGTTACGGGTTTGCGCATGCGTATTTCGATTTGTTTACAAAAGGGGCGGAGCTATCGCGCTGCATGTTGGGTACTAACGTTAAGGTTAATGTCGTGCGGCGAAAACTACCTAATGCTATCTGTACTGTAGTGTATTTCAGGCTTACAGTATGAAGTGTTGTTAGTTATGACGTTTAGGATGATGGAAAGTACTTGGTGGTTATCCTCTTGATTACTCCACTCTGAAGTCCAGCAAAGAGGCCATGGGGGAGTGGCTTAGTAATCTGGAATTTATCGTAGATAGACGCCTCAACAGCCTCCTGGGGCATGCAGTTTGTTCCATTTTCTAACAGTTTTTTGGTAGCTGGAGCGAATTTATATATATTTTTTCTAGCTGCACTTTCAATAAGTTGGGCATTATGCTTTTTCAGAGTCTATCTTCGGCAAACAGACCAGATTTAATATTGATTTTGCTGTTAATTATTTTATAGGAATTTAAACATTTATTTCTCGTATATTCCAGAGTCATCCAATTTACGTTTAGCTAACATATCAAAGTGACAGTAACAATAGGGGAAACGGCTTAATCACCCTCCCAACCTTGGGGAAATTCAGGCATCGCTACTTTGCCACATATCCTCATCCTTAAAATATATTTTTTTAAAGCCATCGCAAATGGAAACACATAGCTTAAGCATATTAAGTAACAAACTTATGTACCGGATATTAGCGGTAATGCTATCACTTTCTCGAGCATTTTGACATTTGTGTCTAGTATACTCCTTTAATGTAAACAAGTCATATATTGACAGTTTGAAATTATAAAAGTGTTGCTAATTTGATTTCTCAAATATGTTTTTTTTTTTTTTTTTTTTTTTTTTTCCGAACAGTGATGAAGCAGTCTCACTATGGTATAAACAGTTCAACCCTAATTTTTTTTCATAAGCATTTAACAATGTAAACATACCGTACACATCAAGTTAAAATTGTGTAAAACATTACAAAAAGATACATTGACAAAATATAAATTCAACAACATTAAGCAAGATGAAATTACCTTAAAACTACTTTTTAAATGAAATAATAAAAATATAAACATAAATATTGTTTTAACAAAACATTGAATAGCCAAATAGACCAATGTTTTGCGGCCTCGTGGTCGCATTCTCAAGAAACAAAAATGATTAATCATTAAGTAAAGTTATTATCTCCAGTTTAGTTTTGTTTTGAAGATATGAGCTATTAAAGTTCGAAATACTGAATCACAACACCTTTTTTTCAGATTTGGTTTATACTGTATATTTGTATACGATCAAACTGATCAGTGAACCCCATGGTTAAACAGATTTGTTTGATATCATTTTGTAATGCTTTTATGTCTTTTATCCAGAACATTTCCTTAATTAAACCTGAGACAACTAGAAGAATTAAACTTTGTTTTGCATTTATTTAAAAAGTCTTGCTAAAACACCAATGAAGTTTAAAGCCACGTTTACACTATAAGACACGATTACGACACCAAAAGGACATATCATCGCGTAGTTTGTATTCTTCGTGTCGTAATCGTGTCTATTGTAAATAATTTTAAATGAAGGCAGAACAAGAATGAACTACAAATATATTCTAACAGAAACGACGAAGAAGGTACTTATGCAAAAAGGCAACAGTCTTACTAATTTTGAGAGAACGAGGGTCATTGGATGTGATGTAAAAGTAAGACGAGTATGTCTTAGATAAGTGCGCCGTTGCGGCAGGAGAGAAACAAAATCCTCGGAACATTGATGGTAAACAAGACTGAGGGCCAAATTCGGCCCTTCGAGGCAATTTAATTTGGCCCGTAAAGAAAACAAAATAATGAAAAAAGAAAATTTAAAACAATAACAATTTCAAAAAAAATATATTTTCAATAAAGTATAGACAAAAAAGGGTAAGAAATAAAAATAAAATGTTGAACGTTTTCCAACAATCATACTTATTTTCCTTGACACTTATTTTTAACATACCATTAGGACTTTGTTTAAATCCACACCAGCCTATATCTTACACGTTTACACTGACAGTACTGTAAGCCCTACCAGAGAGGTACATTCCCATTAGGCTACTTTATGGTCCAGGTCGGCGGAACGTTTTTTAAAGTGGGGGGCACTTATAAAATGAATGGGAATATGAATCATGCAGATCGAGAATCAAACCTAGGTGGGGGGGTCAACATTTCTCCCCCGGGAAAATTTAGATTTCTAGATGGCTGGAAATGACCTTTCTCGACTTTTGAGCTAGGTGTCTAATGACTTTGTTCTTCAAAATTCAAGGTTTTCCCCTCTTGAAAACGGTAAGGTAAACTTTCTCATTACAGTAAATAGGCCTGTTATGTGTGTATACCCTAAGAAAATGAGTAGTTGCATATCGTATTCTTTTTTCAATGAATCGATAAGCTCCAAAGAAAAGGGGGGTCCATCCTAGATGGCGGAAAATGAGCTTTTCCCCGACTCCTGAGGTGTCATAATTATTTTTAAGTTTTTCAAAATTCAAGGTTTTCCCCTCTTGAAAACGGTCAGGTAATTTGTTGCCATTGTTATTACAGTAAAGGCCTTATGTGTCTATGCACACATAACATTTAAAAAAAAATGAGTAGTTGCATACGAATTTTCCATGAATCGATGAATCACAAAAAGAAAGGGGGCCTGGGGGTCCTCCCCCGGGAAAATTTTGATTCCTAGAAGGCGGGAAATGAGTTTTCCCGACTTCTGGGGTGTCTTTTAATTACTTTAAGTTCTTCAAAATTCAAGATTTTCCCCTCTTGAAAATTATTATAATGAATCAGTGAACCCAAAGAGAAAAGGGAGGTTCAGGTTCTTCTCGGGAAAATGTTGATTTCTAAGTGGTGGGCAATGAGCTTTCCCGACTTTAATTTAAGTTCTTTAAAATTAAAGGTAAATAATTTTTTCCCATTGTTGTTACAGTAAATAGGCCTTATGTGTGTATACAAACATAAAAAAAGTTTGAGCAAGTTGCATACGTATTTTTTTCCCATGAATCGATAAATCCCAAAAAGAAAGGGCGGGGGGGGGGGGGGGGTCCTGTGGTTCTTCCACAGGAAAATTTTGATTCCTAGGTGGCGGGAAATGAGCTTTCCTGACTTCTGAAATGTATTTTAATGTATTTTAAGTTCTTCAAAATTCAAGGTTTGAGACTCATGGTAGAAGAAGTCCATTGTTTAATCATAGTTAACATAACTAGGTTATTTTGCAATACGTCTATTGTATAATAATAATAATAATCAATATTTATGAGCACCTAATGTTAATAACATCTAGGCGGTATGGGGTCAATAACATTGGTAAGCCTACTTATTTTACATGATAATAAACCAAAGAACAGTGCTTATAAAGATACATTTCGATTGTTCTGCAAATAATTCAAGTCATACAGGACTCATATGACGCCAAGTTCTGTGTTTTGTTCTGATCATTGTGTTTCGTCAATAGCCTTCTTTTCAAGTCATACAGCTGGTATTAGCATCACCCCGACTTTCGTGCCGCCCAAGTTCCATCTTTGTACTTTATTCTGTTCAGCCCGTCAGATCAACGCTGAAAATAATTTGGCTCTTCAAACAAATTAATTATGAACCAGGGCGACAGAATAAACAGGCTACATTACGACGATGTGACAATTATGGTTCTAATTGGCAACCAAGTTTAGGACGCTGGATCTCAGTGAAGAAAAGACACAACATTAATTGTTTTTTTATTTAACCACTGCCAATGGACATTAAATACCGATGCGCTATCAATACCGGTATTCTATTATTACCCACTTACCTGTGTTGATCGGACACCGCGAATAAAAGTAATTACTTTACAGTTTGTCCGGCGACCCTAAAAATATATTTGCGACCCTGTTGGGTCGTGACCTATAGTTTAAATTGAACAAGGAATTTTAATTGTTAAAATGTCCTTGGTTTGAATACAAGGTATTAGGTGTTTTATTCAACGAACTGGAAATAAAAGCGAGAGCACAGATGACGTTTTGGCATGATGTTCTATACAATTCTACCTATTGTTATACCCACTTGCCATGTCGGCTGAACACCGAATCAAAGTTAATACTTATTGTTTGGCGACCCTAAGAAATATTTTGGCGACCCTATTTCGAGTCGTGAGCCATACAGTAATTTGAATAGCAGCGATCTAGAGTTTTATCAATCTACCATATATATACTGTATTGAATTGAACCAGTTATTTTCAAATTTAAGCAAGGGTGTGACATTCTCAAGAGGGACGTTCGTGAGTAGTTGGGCGGCACAGGAAACTAGCAAGTCATCAGAACCAATGGTAAGAAAGAAATATATTCGGAATCTACATTTTTTTAACAGTGGAACGCTTCCATTGTGAATGTGAGTCTAAACGAAATACAGTACAGTTATAAAACTTAAACAGCGCAACTGACAAGAATATATAAGGCAAAAATAGAAATGACTAACCGAAGATAATATAGAATACAGTTAAGTGTATGAAAAAATAAACTTAGATATGTCAAATAAATACAAATAATTAATAGTATTTCTTTGAAAAAAAAATCAAATATGTCATGAATAAGTGAATGCGTTGCTCGCTATTGGTTTTCATTTTTTCATCTAACCATTGTGTCAGTTTATAGTTGTATGTTCCCGTTGCTGAAAGTGGTCTGACAGATAATGTGTTTTCAGAATAGACCATAAAGTTTAGAAATTTGTTGAGTAAGCGTTGATGTGTACGGACAATACTAGCTGTTTTTCTTTATGTAGAAATGGGTGGAAGTGTTTCATTTTTCTTCTTGATTTAGGCTGTGTTGGTTCTCATGGTGTAAAAGACATACTCAGGATAAAAGTTTTAAAACCACCTCTTAAAAAAACGGATTCCATCAAAGCAAAACTCTTTATTTAATACAGGGATACAAACTATTTCCCCTAATGGAGGAGATGCTCAAGTCCATGATACCTTGGCTATTAACATCATCATCATCATCATCATCATCTACTCGCTTTAATTCGCCGTGTAGATGTACATGGCGTTTATTCTCTATGATCAGATGAATTTATCAGTGGCCAACTTCTCATATTCTATCGCTTTAGGTCTTTCTTAGTATCCAGGGAGGGATCCAGAAATTTTCTGACGGGGGTGGGGGGTGGTGGTGTATTTGATTCTCATCCCAGCAATTTCCGGCCGTCTAGAAGTCCAAACTAAAAAAAAAAATATCGTTTTGGGAGGAGGGGACACCCACTCCCGGCTCCGTCCCTTTAGATAACGCTGCGCGCTATAGTTACACCCATAAATACTTAGCCTCACCCCCGCAGTCGGACACCTTAGCTCCACCCCATAAATGATATCCTAGAGCCGCCACTGTAGTGCACACCCACCTTAGCCCCACCATGGTGATTTTCAGAATAGGCTACTCTAGACGCTTGGAAATGGCACTCTCAGATGGTGCTTTTTCCAAGCAGTGTTTCTCAACAAAGTTATTCTTCCTTTCGACGAGAGCTGTCCCTCCCCCTCCCTTGAGTTAAACACGTCCCCTCACAGCGTCGCATAATCAAGGACCTATATTTATGCGTTACTGGGAGTCGCAAAGCAAATTATGAATATAATGGCACCTCATGCTCGGAAATAACACTCATTCAGGCTTAAAAATTGAATATTTTTTCTCCACTTTTAAAAACTTAAACTTTCCTGTCACCTACTTTGGTTTTTCTACTTTATGATTAATTATTGCTAGTGTTCTCTTGACACCATGAGAAGGTCTATATTATTTCTTAAATTTTATGTTAAAATTATATATCGTCTGTATATTGTTTTTTTCAGTTCGCCCTCTAATTCGATACCCTTTTAATCAATATTTAAACAGGTCTTTTGGTGGGGGCCATAGGAGGATTGATTTGACCAAGGAGGTATAAAAATAATTGACTGACTAAAATTGCTGGATGAGAGCCCATTCTCTGATCAGCTGCCACTTATAAGGTAAGAATTTAATGCGTTGAGTGCGTGTCATACCCAAAAATCCCACCACGACAGTGAACTGTTAGTAAAACGCGAGTATGATGAGAAGGCCCAGCTAGGCCTAGGCCTAGCCCAGGCCTAAATCACTATCTAGCAGATAATCTATTTCAATTATCAATTAACTATCAATATTGAGGCAATGTAAAACATGAAAATGTTTCAGTAACAGTAAGTATGTGTTGGATGATTCCTTAATTAATTGGTAAAGAATTAGACCGCCTAGCTGGCCTAGGTAGGGCTAGCTAGGACTAGCCTAGGCCTAGGTAGGTAGGCTAGGGAGGACTAGCTTGGCTAGCCCCAAGACCTAGGTAGGCATGAGGCCTAGGCTAGGCCAGAAGAGGCGGGGGGGGGGGG